CGGCAACGGATCGCAACCCTCAGTGTTGCCCCCGTACCAGACCGGGGACCGGCAACGGGATCGCAACCCTCAGTGTTGCTCCCGCGCCTCGCTCAGCCAGTGAGCGGGAACCGGTCTGTATGTGGGATCCGAACCCTCGGGCGGGAGCGCTGCTGCGCTTCCCAAGCGGCGCACTATCCAGTGCGCCACCGGGCCGGCCCCAGAATAGAATTATTTTGAGCAAGTTACATTACTTCTCCAGATTTTCATCTTCATCTACAAAAATGAAAGTTTTAGATTCAGTAATCTCTAAATTCTCTTCCTGTTCTAAAACTCCATAACTCAAGGATATAAGAAAAAATAAGGGTGAAATGGTTAAGAGAGTATCTTTAAAATGTTTCATATAAATCCAAAGAAATTGCAAAGTAAAGAAGTGAGTAGTCACTGGAGAAGGAGAAGAAAGCCTAATGGTGTGGAGTCAAAACAAGATCACAGGCTACCTCATACTATCTGGTAATGTGGTCCTGCAGAAAAACGTCTATGAAAAGTCTAGTGGGAGGCAGACATGTTACAGAAAAATAAACTGCTATTGTGGAAATCTAGAGGACATTGTGGAGGCACGAAAAGATAGTACTCATTTCCACTTGGGAGCAGCAGGGATGGGAGGTGACAAAAAATGTTTTCAAGGAAGAAAATGGAATAGTTCCCTGGTTGGGCATTGGTAAAGGTGCAAGAGACTGGAAGCTTCAGGAGGACATTTCTTTCTCTGCTGTATCCCCACACCTCATCCCACCTATAACATGAACTGGAATGCAGCAGGCACTCATTGAATAATTAATTAATGCATGAGCCATGATATAAAGCCTTCAACAAAGCAGGCTTCCAATAACAATGCCATGATGATGAATTTTTTAAAAATTTCACTTAAAAGCATTACTCACTTCATAAAAACTTTTCAGTTAAGCATTTTCTCAATCAACTACTATGTTAACAGTATAACTGCAATCATGTGGGGTATGTGAGAAATTTGTATCGTTATTAAGAATGAATAAATTAATGAACAGATGGTAGTGAAAAAAGGAAGAAGTTGGGAAGGTATTGCAATATGTGAGGATAGCCAAAGAAATGGTCAGAGACGGAGATTCTAAGATGGCGACGGGTCTGGAGCGGCCGTGACAGGAGACAGCGCGATCTGCTGTGATACCAGAGTATTGATTGCATTTCCAAGAGCAACAAAAGGCGAATAATTCTTTCAACAACGATCCTACATCGACAAACAAGTGGCAGCAGGTTCGAGGTTTTGGGGCCGACTCAGAGGAGGACTCCTGAGAGCGCCCAAGCCCGGCTGCGGGAACAAATGATCAGCCCAGACAACAAAGGCCAGGAAAGCCAGCGCGCCAGACCGGCCCAACTCTGCGACCTCTGTGAGTCACCCCCAGCCCAGCCCCACTTGCGGGGCGAAGCCCGACTGCTCCCCGCCCGCCTGGCCCC